TTATTAGAGTGAGGGGGAAAAGCGTCAAAATCATGTCAAAATGACGTTTAGCGCACTAAATGTTGAAGGTAAGGACATTAAAGCCAAGAAATGAAAGGTATGGATGATTTTCGAAATCAACCCCAAAGGTAGGGACGTTTTGTGCTAATTAGCCTTTTTTCTTCTATTTAACAAACCCTTCAAAATAAAATATATGTAGAGAAGGGTAAGCGGTGAAATTGGTTTTAAAAAAACATAAGCAAGATGTTCCTTCTCAGAATGGATAGGTCGGTCCACACCATCACACCTACATTTGGACCACATCGTTGAGGACCATAATTGGCAGGTCTAAACTGACTTTATTTGCCAATGATGCATTTACGAATTAGAACCTCCACAAACCAACAATTATTGGACCATTTTCACCCTATTGATTATGATCGATGATCTATTGACGGCGGAGCCTGATCCTTCGTGGAAGATTGTGGGGCGGGCAAGGGGAATGTACGATTCCGCAGGCCAGACTGACTTGGGTCTTATTATGGTCCTGAGTTATGAATTCACCGATGAAATAGATGACGGAGGCTCTTTTAGCCTTCTTAGTATCAATATGGCAGCGACAAAATCAGTCAGGGAGATGGCAATTGTTGGTGGCACGGGGCTTTTTCCGTTGGCTCGTGGCTACGCATTGTATAGACTTATAAGTTCGATCTTACTACCGGTGATGTTATTGTTGGGTACAATGTTACAATTGTGACATATATTTGAGCATTCAGTATCAATTTTTCGTTTAGTAACTTTTAAGTTATTGTCCCAAAATAAATTATTTATTTATTTTTATTTTAGTCAATTAAAAAATTCACATATTTTATGACAGAGTTTTCTCTTTTTTATAAAAGATTTGTTTACTTATGAGTAGACTAATAATCTCCGGAGCTAAGCGGCTAACATCCTCTACTGCATATTATGAACTTTAACAAGTACAACATTACACTTGAATTCTCAAGTCGAACATGTTGCGCGAGGTTTGACACGTGTGCACTTCACGGGAGAATAAATTTTAGCTACTAGATACATTACAAGTTTTTAAAATGTGAGAAATTTAATAAATTAATTATTCTTCTATTTAACACACCCTACAAAATCAAAATATGTAGAGAAGTGAAATTGGTTGGGGAAAAATGTAGGCAAGACATCGTGGACTCCCAAAAACTCAGCATTATTGTATTTCAATAATGTAAAAATAATTATTGTTGTACCTTAGTTAGAGTATCTTCAATGGTAGTGTAAAATTTGGTGTACCTCACTTCCATTTCATTGGATTTAAATACAAACTC